ATAGTCCTTATTATGGGTACCCCAAAAGGGTATCCCTAATTTTGGGAAACCACCCATATAGGGGACGACAGAGGGGATTCTAGGAGTTAAGACTATGACTCGACTGGCCGCCTTGAGAATGTAATTGACAACGTTCTGACAGAAACATCATTGGAATGATCATTTTTGAATGTGAATCGTGCCTCTATGGAGCTGTGTGAGATTTATTCATGTCCAGGGTGTTGTGACATGTACATATGTTGAAAAGTTTTGAATTTGCTGGCTCAAGGTTGTGACAGGTGTGAGCACTAAGTCTTGGAGGCCCAAAAGCACAGCAATCCAAGCGAAGATGCCGAGTCGCGTGCGAGCGCCAGCCAGCCGCCGGAACTTGGAACCCGAAATGACATGTCCGATGAATGTGCAGGTCCATACTAAGGACAGCCTGTCATAGTTTTTGTAGCATTTTCCTGATGCTCTTGCTACATATTGCTAGTGTATTAGGGTCATGTTGTCATAAATGTTAGTATGCTTCATGCGCCAACGGTTGCTAGTCTCAATGTTTATTGTCGAGGACAGCAACGTACTCGGTCTTTGTGGACCCAGTGAGCTGCATGGACTTGAGCGGAGGTGCTCCTGACACAGAGCACAATTTTGGACTAGGATTTGGAGTTGTGTCCAAGATCAAGACATCATTCCTGCACGCTAAAATAGTATATATACACCACAATGATTGGGGTCCCCAATGGTAAATGGTAAAATGCCAGGTCAGATTTTTAGGGTCCGAGCCCTTGATTGCACAGCTTCACTTGTTGACAGTAATCGTAAAGAGATTGCGGCTGATAGCGAGCACGAGTCACAATCACGGTCAAAACAGCAATAAGATGTCCTCGAGGCGCTTCGTGCTGGTGCGCGCCATGCATCCACAGGTGGAAGGCCGTATGTCAACATGCACCACGGAAGTCCTGCTGAGGCGCGCAGTGGAATCAAACGAGCACAAAACACAATGACAGCAACGTTTTGGTTGCAAAGACTCAACTAGAAGTGGAGATAGTGGAACATCCGGCACACAGGCCAAACCCTAGACCCCTAAACCCTGAACTCTAAAGCCACAAGTAGTTCTTGTGTCTTTCCAAAAAGAAAAGCGGTCTTCAGGCGAAGGCTGAGGTGCCTTGACAAGGAAGCCTGCAGCGCGATGCTCCGGCCAAGTGTCGGCCGAGGGGACGTGGTGCTTATTGGGATAATGGAAAATAAAATGCAAACTACTGAAATATAACAGGGTTATATAGGGGTAATGTAGGGTTGTTAGGTGGTATTTCAGGTCCAAACCCGGGCAAGAAGGGTCTTAGGGGTGTTTTAGCACATGAGCTATAGTCGAAACTCCTAGTATCACCGTTAGTAACCTGTATAGTAGTCTCGTATATAATCCTCTATATCCCCTGATCGACTAAAGCTCACATAGCTGCACAATAGCCTTTGCATTGTCTTAGGCATTGAGCAATTTGGTCCCTTCTGGAAGTTTGCTCCCCGCAAGGTGCAGCACATTATGACCTTCGTCGATCCGGAGCGGCCGTTAGCGGACACAGCAGTGGGGGGCAAGATGTTTCAAGACACAGGCTCTGCAAATTTGGACTTGTTCTTTCAGTCAGTCCCTCAAGGGAAGCCACAGGAAACTGGATGATGAAAAGCACGACTTTTTCTACGTTGGCCTGGCGTTGGCCTGGCGTTAATATAGGAATATAGTAGGACCCCAACCCTAAACCCTAAACCCTAACATAATCCCTATTCTCCCTCATAGTCGCTATTGCTGGATGGTAGTGGCAGAGTGGTTTTCTTCACTTCGAAACCGGAGGAAAACGTGCAGCTGAAGGGGCTGTTGGACAAGGCCTGGGATGAAAGCCCAGAGGTTTGCTTGAAGCAGATCTTCTTGCTTGGCTCCCGAGATGGCAAGCAGGACCGGCCATCATTACAAGACCTATAAAGGGCTTATGGCAGCATGAACCACATGAGCACCAAGACAGGAGAAGACTGATAAGACCCATAGTAGGAATTCTGCGGTAGCTTTTAATAGCGCTCCTGCTCGTAATGTTGCGAACAACGGTAATGGTGAAGGCGAATGCAATAGGTGTTCGTGATGCGAAGATGAATCGTCATAAGGATTCTAAGCGGCGAGTGGATCCTTCATCCGTGTGCAATTCCCATATGAGCTATAGTCTAAACTAGCCTCCTAGTATATCCCTCAATAACCCCTATACGATCCCCTCTATAACCCCCTTCAAGGAGTTTAGACCCTGAACTCTAGACCCTAAACCCCGAACCTTAAACCCTAAACCCTTGACCTCAAACCCTAAACCTTAAACCCTAAACCCTAAACCATGTACCCATTTAGTCGGACGTGGTCTCCTGGGCAAGCAGGACCGGTATTCGTTCTACGATGCCATGGTTTGGCTCTGGCACAAGGACTCTTGGGGGACTTTGGGCTGGCCTGTTCCTAGTAATAATAGTAGCGGTTTAGGGTTTAGGGTTTAGGGTTCAGGGTTTAGGCTTTAGGATTCAGGATTCAGGGTTTGTAGTAATAATCACAGTAACAATAACAACAATAATAACAGTAATACCAGTAGGGAGAAGAATAGTAACAAGACCATTTGAAATCATCCTTACAGATTAATTATCCCCCCTGATATTGAAACCCCCCACCCCCCAAAGATTAGATATTTCGATTTGGGTATAGTGTACCATATTGTATGGGGAATATTTAATGTTAGGCGGGTGGGGGTGTTTTAATGTATGGGGGATGGGATTAGGCAGGCTGAAAAGGTTGAGGACAAAATCTGCTGTATTCATTCGAGAAAGCAAAACCCAGACAGTCTTCTTCCTGCAGAGTCCCTAGGGCTGGGTTGCTGTTAAGGAACCTAACTTAAGTTTAGGGTTTAGGGTTCGAGTTCCCTTCATATGGACATATAGTAAACAATAGGGTTCCCTTGTTGTTATAGCTTAACTTAAGTTCCCCGAAGCCCCAAAAACCCAAAACCCTGAACCCAGATGAAGGATCCGGCCACGCTCCTCGCCAACTTGCAGTTGGTTCCCGAGTGCAACTATTGGAAGGGACTGCTGGAGGTCTCGGATCTTCTTCATTGATAGTCTTTAGGGTTTAGGTCCAGCCACAAATATGTGTATACTTCCAAACCTAAAACGGACCCGAAATCTCTACGGACCTTAACAAATGCCGAGAATTCATAACGTTCAACAGGCCCTTGTAGAAAGTAGTGTACTGTTGCAGACCTGTAAAGTGTAGCTCACAACAAGAAGAGCCTGACATGAAGCACTTCCAATTCCCTAAACCCTAAACCGCGTGGGCACTTATCCAGGGGGCAGGCGTTTCTAGTTCTTCATCTGCGAAATCGTAGAACGATTTCTTTTTTCATCCGTATCAAAATCTTCACATCCCTAAGCCCTAAACTCCAAATCCTAAGCCCCAGAGGTCTTGGCGCGCATTTGCGAGGGCCCGGCCCGGAGCTTACAGCGAGACTTGGCGCTCTACAGCCATTACAAGCGCTGCAAGGACTTGGTTTCAGGCTTTGGGTTTAGGGTTTGGGTTCACTAAACCCTAAACCCTAAATAGTAGTTTCCATTTCCTTTTCCATTGTCCCTATCTAAATTATATAACCCATATAACCCTAGGGTTTAGGGGCACTGCAAGGACTTGGTTTGGGGTTTGCGGCTTGGGTTGCAGTTTTTCAAGGTATACAGTTCGGGGTGTGGGGGTTCTGGGTGTAGAGTCTAAGACTTTGCGGTTTCAAAGCCGCTAGGAAAGGCATGTATTGTAATCTTGGCACTTCATAATTTGGGGGTTCGACTACAGGTTGCTGTTGGGTTTTAACAAGTGCTTCGCGTGACTCGAGGTACGCGCTCTATTATGTTCTGGGAAAGGGGTGGTTGCTGTTTTTTGAGGGGACCATAAGATTTTGTTCATGAGTAAATACAATTCCTGTACTGCCTTCTGCTGCTTTTGTAAAGCTACTCAGGAAACATCTTCACATGCCTGAGGGTCGGGGCGTGAGAAACCCACATGCTTAATAGTGATAGTCTTGTCAGGAGCGCGACTGTAAGTCGAAGCAACAGTAGTAGCTAGAGGGACTTCATTCTGAAGAGGAACTCCCAACAATTACGGTCTCTTTTTGGGTGTCACCATAATAAGGACTACAGTATTTGGGGGTTTATATTGGGGCACCATATTTACTGAACCTAGCAGATGTAGTACTGGTCTTAAGCATTGTGCTCAGAAAGCCAAACGCCGCCAGGATGCACAAGCGGACTGCAAGCAACTACTCTGCAATCAGAAAAAAACTGTAGTTTCCCTAGATAGGGGGGCCCCAATTAAGACCCCAAAATACTATAATCCTTGTTACAGGGACCCTCAAAAAGTTAGCGCTAATTTTGGGAAACCCTCAAATCCATCATAGCGGACCCTCATGCCATAGTGCCCCGACAATCCCTGTATAGTCTTAGCGTGCCTCGGGGCCCAAACATATTTTTTTCAAGGTTAGGGTTGGCTTTAGGGTTTAGGGTAACAATTCGGTGTCAAGACAATAGACTGTTTAATCTTTGCGCAGGGCTTCAGACTTCAGGAAGCCAGGATTGCGGATGACTAGAAACCATTAGCCTGTAGCAACAGCACGTTCTTGGTTGGAAAGATGGACAACAAAATCATGTGCCCTGTTGAAGCTTGTTATGGTTACTACTTGAGGATGCATAGGGGCAGCTTAAATACAACAACCCCAAATGGGGATGTTTCTCCAAATCATCCCTCAAAGTAACCCACCTGTTTTGTTCTTAGTTTCATACCACTATAGGGCGCCCGCCATTAGGTACCGGAAGAGGGACGCAGGACTCGGCGAGGACGGCAACTTTCGCCCAGGCTCCCGATTGGAGATGGCAGCAGAAGCGTTGATGCTGGGGGTTCAATTACTCAAATGGGAGTGCTCGAGATCCTGAGGTTGAGGGCTCAGGGAATTACTATAGGGATAGTGGAAAAGAACATGGAAAGTACTATTTTTTAGGGGTTGTGTTGGGATAATGGAAAATAAAATGGAAGCTACTCTAATGGGGTTATATAGGGTTTAGGGTTTAGGGTAAACCAACATATTTCGGTTGTTGCGCCCTCAAGCTGGGTAGGGGGCAATCTGGGGATCACCTTGGTATGCAAGGGGCAACGCACACTACATGTGGGGTATATGAGCTATAGTCTAAACTCCTTAAAGGAGGGTGAAAGAGGGACTACTATAGGGCTTCCTAAGGGGGATACTAGGAGTTTAGACCCTAAACCCCTAAACCCTAAACCCTAAACCCTACTATAGCTCATATGAGGTGGAGGCATTGAGGGTCCCTTCTAGGGACCTTCAACCGGGGCAAATTATCCAGGCAAATTACGACGACCTCATCTGGCCTCATCTTAAATGGTGGTTTGCCAAGCAAGTGTTGCAAAATTGGCTCCATTATGCCTAGTTATAGGGCTCTGACATTACCATAAAATGGCCAGTCTCAGTTTGCAGAGTTCTGATTTTTTTGTTTGGGGGTGGGGGGCAAGGTACATTTTACACCGCCTGTTTAGGGTTTAGGGTTTAGATCCAGAAATCCTTCCAGATGCTCAGGGGTAGGATTTCTTTTAGACAGGCAGTGCTTAAAGCATTTGTCCTGCAGTGCAGTAGTCTGTGAGTAAGGAAGCTCTCAGCCTAAGCCCTAGGCTCCAAACCAGCAAGCCAAAACCTTGAATCCCACTTTGCCAAAGAAACACGTTGACGGTAACCCCCTATGCCATTCCCATGTTCCTCCTAACCTCTTGCCAGATGCTACCCTGTGCAGTTCCCCTGTTCCTAAACTCTTACACCAACCCTCGGAAATCCCGATTTGAGAAGTCACTTAGCAAGGAAGCGCTACGACAGCGACCCAGTCTTCCGAGCGCTTTTCGAGCGAGTTGGACAGCTTTTCGCTGACCAGCTGCGCTTGGATTTGGCTGCGATGCGCAGAGGTCGGCATGGCATGTAGCAATCTATAGATTCTCCTGCATGTTTTGAAACATGCCAAGCTGTCATTAGGTTTTCGCGTCAGATATGTAAGGTCATGCAAAATACAAGGCGAGTAGAACAAAACATAGGCCACCGCAGACCTTACAATACTGCAAACTCTGGCAACGGCCATTTGCATAAAACACAGCATCAAGAGTTTTGGAATCATCCATGGTCTTTGCGTGTGTTTTGTAGCAACTTGAGGCCAGAGGGTCAGCCTCTGCGCAAAGTGGTGCCCGCTGCTCTACCACTCCTTCGATCGGCGGACCCTGATTTGTGAGGGCATTGCCCGATGGCTCTTTCCTGCTAGCTTACCGCAGTTTGCAGGGTGCACCGAACGGCAGTATGCCTACAGGGCCCGTGATCTGTTGCGGAAGCAGCTGTCCGAGCTTGGCGAGTACATGAAGCTCCCGGAGCGGCTAATGTGCCAACAGCGTTGGGGCGAGATCCACTACAAAGCGCTCCCTGCGGCCTGCCTCACCAAGCATGCCAAGAGCTTTGAGAAGCACGACCCCGTCCGCTTCCGAGAGTTCATGGACAAGGTCGAGTGTGGCAAGGTCCGGGTGAACACAGGCGCCCTCCAGCCACACGAGATCCTGAGGCGCGCGAAAGCGTCTGGCACTTCCGAGAAGATACTGGCGCAGGGACAGTGGCGGGCTATGGTGGACCGTGTCCGTGAAGCTGGTCAACTGCAAGACTGCATTGCTGTATGTGATGTCTCCGGCTCCATGTCGTGGTGTGAGGCTGCACCTGGCGTTACTCCTATGGATGTGGCCATCGCTTTGTCTCTGCTGGTGGCCGAGCTTGCTTCTGGGCTTTTGGCTGAGCAGGTCATCACGTTCCACGAGTCACCAACGATGGCAGCACTTCCAGCCACCTCGAACCTTGCGGAGCTTGTGGACTTCATGCGGCGGTTGCCCGCAGGTGGAAGGACCAATTTCCACAAGGTCTTTGAGCTGCTGTTGGAAAAACAGGCATTGCCCAGGAAGATCCTGGTGTTCTCTGATATGCAATTTGCTGCTGCCGGTGGCAACTCCACGGTCTTGCGGCAGATTCAGGAGAAGTACCGCCAAGCAGGCCGGACAATGCCGGAGCTGGTGTTCTGGAATCTCGTCGGAAGCTCAGGCGCGCCGGCTCTGGCCACGGATGCTGGCGTCGTCCTCATGTCCGGCTTCTCCTCGCGCATGCTGAAGATGGTCACGGAGTCTGGGCAAAATCCGCTGGCTGCCTTTAGCAAGGCGCTGGACAACCCGCTCTGCGCTAAGGTGCGTGTGGTCCAGGATGCCGCTGATGCCCAGGAGCTCCTCGCCGGCCCTGAGCCCTCCCAGCATCCCTTCGCTGCCGACTCGGCCGAGGTGGCCCAGGCTACAGCGGGTGGTGCGGCAGGATTGCCGACGAAGCGGCGGCGCGCGCAGCGGGCCGTCATGGCAAAGCTGGCCACGCTGCCGTGCCGTGTTGCTGAGGCAGCCCTTGTCGGCAAGGGTGGTGAGAGGATCCGGCAGCTAAGGAAGGCGCTGCAGGACCGCATGTGCCAAAGCTTGGATGCTGGTCGCTTCCGGTTCTGGCTGGATGTCCAGAACCGCAGCTTATTAGCCACAGTGGAGGCAGCAGAGAGCTCCTTCACGGAGCAACAGCTTCAGACATCCCTTGCCGAGCTGAAGTCCTTCATCCCGCGCAATGTGATCTACAACAAAGTCCGCCACGCTCTGCGCATTGACGGCCTCCCAGTACCACGCCGGGTCTCTGCTGTGTTGGGCTCGCTGAGGAACGGAAAGGCAGTTGCCATATTCCTTGGACGCAGGGGTTCGAGGATTAGGGCCTTGCAGGCTCCAGGGACTTTAGGAGGGACTCCCAATAGGGACCCTTAATCCCATCACCATATACAACCCTTATATAGTCATTCTATAACCCCTATATCCATAGGTAGTCCCCATATTAACCCCCATAAGCTACACGGGTCCCTATTAGGGGTCCCTCCTAAAGTCCTTAGAAGTTAGTTTCTAGGGACTGTAGAGCTGTCAGGGCTCGTGTTTTAATTGTTGGGGTTATAGGGTTTAGGGTTATAGGGTTTAGGGTTATAGGGTTTAGGGTTATAGGGTTTAGGGCTGTATAAGTACAGTGAACTTGGAGAAATGACAGGGAGGCAAAAGTAACCTTCTCCAAAGTAGCACGGAACCCCAAAGCTAGTGGAAATAGCTCGCAATAAACGAAATCAGCAGTAACACAACTTGTACTTTCAACCCTGACAGTAAACTCTGGCATGGAAGCCAGAAAGGGCCTTCCAAAAACTGTCCATATTAGCTTCCACCCTAAACCCCAAACCTGAAACCCTAAATCCTAAACCCCGAACCCGAAACCCTAAACCCCAAACCCTAAACCCCAAACCCCAAACCCTAAACAGCCCTAGACCACCAAAACCCTACGCCCTTCTAACCCTTGGCCTGGGAGAGGTCATCAGCCAGTAGTCATCAAGAGCTGTGTGGCCCAATGCTTTGAAGAGTCCGGAGTTAGGTAATACATTATATCCCTTCAGTTTTACCTGGACCCCAAAAGGTATGTAAAATATTTGCCTTTATGGCCATTATTAGGGGTTCAGGGCCATTTTTTTAACATACTTTTGGGGTCTAGGTAGGGTCTAGGGTTTAAGTTTTAGGGTTTAAGGTTTAGGGTTTAGGGTTTAGGGTAGATCACTGCCTTCAAGAAGATGGTTATAACCCTATTTTCAGCCCTTTATAGTCAACCCTGAGAACCTACAGCCTGCTCCCCTACATAGTTTCCCCAAACGTTAGTGGTAGGGTTTAGGGTTTAGGGTTTAGGGTTTAGGGTTTAGGGTTTAGGGCCCCATTGGGGTACCCTTCATGAGTACTTTGCCTAACCCATCAGCAACCCCAATTTTGCCTCACAAAGTAGCCAGGTGGCAAATACAGACGCGGTGGTGCGAGCTACGCTCCTGGAGGACTTTCCTAGCTAAGGCCTAGGCCGTAGACCGTACGGTTTTAGACTTTAGGGTTTAGAGCCTAGGGTCTAGATTCGGAGGATCCCCCACCCTGTAATAGTGAATATAAGACGACCCTAATACAATCCTTATTATCCATAATAGTCACTATTACTGGGTGGGGGGTCCACCTAAGGTCTAGACCCTAAACCTCAAATCCCAAACTGTGCCCTAGATCCTAAACTGGAAGCCATAGACCCTGAGCGGTGGACCTTATCTGGTTCCCTGGGATCTGTAGGATCTAGGGTTTAGGATTCAGGGTTTAAGGTTTAGCTAAATCGCATCAATCTTAGTTGGAGACTGCTCCTGCAAGGCTCCTGAAGGATTACACTGTTGCACTCCCCCAAACCAACATGCAAGCCCAAAATGGCTTTACAAATACCTCCCTCAACCCCAACCCCTAAATCCTACACCCGATACCCCAAACTCTAAAGTTTTCATGTTTGTTTTGGGCAGGGGTTCCCGAATTTGCCCCGACAACTTTAAGCCAAGATCCCATTGTCTCACATGTGGGGGAGGGGGGTTGTGGCCTGCGCGCTTGCAGGAAGCGCATGCGTGGATTCCACGGGCATGAGTTTTGAATTCTGCTCAGTGTTTAGGGTTTAGGGGAGTTGGGTTTAGTGTTTAGGGTTTAGGGTTTCGAATTTAAGGGGTAGGACCTTGTCCCCAAATGGGGGTGGTAAAAAAAAGTGGGGCCCGTCTTTGGGAAGTCTCGCGAAGAAGAACTGTATTATCTTGCGGTCTACATCGGGGGCCCCCTGTTTACGGAAAACTCCCATAACGTAAGTAGTTTGTAGCCCTAACCCCAAGCCTACCCTAAACCCTAGCCCTGAACCCAAAACCGTCCCAAATAGGTAGGATGTTAGCAGGTGTGGTTGTCTCTTCCGCTTTGCACTTGAGAAGCGGAATTTGGGGCTTAGGACTTCCGGTGTAGGGGTGTAAGGGTTAAGGGGTTTAGGGGTTTAGGGCTTAGGGCGCGCAAGCACAGCAGAAAAGCATCCGCAAATTCAACAGCTGTTTATCCAGAGTTCATAAGTTAAGCCTCAACCCCAAAACCCTAACCCCTAAACCCAAAATCCTAACCCCTAAACCTTAAACCTTTTCACCAAAACCCCAACCCCTGACCCCTAAACTTTAACAGCGCCTTCCTAGCGAAACAGCCCCTCGCAAGAATGAACCCGATAGCCACAAAAGCTCGGATGCCAAGGACAGTTGACATCTTCCAGTATAAGGGATAATGGAAAAGAACATGGAAACTACCATAGGTTTAGGGTCTCTATGGGACCTAGCTTGGACCTTAGACCCTTAACCCTTTGGGATTCCCTCATACTCCTATTGTAGGTACCTAAGGGTTAACCCTTAGTAGGGGTCCTAAGTGCCACGTAGTAACCCACCATGATCAAGTATGTATGGTCCGGAATACTTCTAGTAGATGTCCCCATTGTAAAGCGTATCTAGTGTACCTGTTTAGGGAATAGGTTTGAGGGTTTCGTCCGAATACTCCTGCAGCACCACATGCTAGGAGATGATCTTTTCTGTGCTCACAGATGCCTGGGTGGTGTACTTGGAAGCCTGGCTTAATATAGGGACCTAAATGATTAACAATATTGTGGTTCTAGATTCCTGGTATAATTCTAGTATATCGTACCTCAAATGGACCTCAAAATGATATTGGCAATTATTTGATCTTATACCCCTATATAGACCCTATATACCCTAATATATTATAGTAGTTTCCATTTTCTTTTCCGTTATCCCCATATTGGTAATTATTTAGGCCCCTGTAGTACGTTGGCACGGCTTCGTGTTCAGGGTTCACGGCCTCGGCTGCTGTGCCTGAGGGCTCTGGTAGTTCAGGGCCCAGAACGAACCCTAAAGCCTCCCAACCGAAATCCCTAAACCCTAAACCCTAAACCATATTAAAAAAAACCCTAAACCCCTAAACCCTAAACCCCTAAACCCTAAACCCTAAACCCTAAACCCTAAAACCCTAAACCCTAAACCCTAACCCTAAACACCTAAACCCTCAACCCTGGGCCCGCCTTTTTGGGGTTTAGGATCAGGTTCGGGGCATCAGAGCATGCGTCAGGTTCAGTGATTCCTGGGAAGTTGCGATCCATCAAAGATGAGACGCGGTTTAGGGTTTAGGGTTTGATGCACCTCGCTGCTTTAGGGTTTAGGGTTCAGGGTTTAGGAGTTTAGGGTTTAGGGTTTAGGGGTTTAGGGTTTAGGGGTTTAGGGTTTGATGTTTAAATCTCTCATGACCTTAGCCCCCTTTAGCCTTAGCCTATACCTCAGACCCTGAACCCTAAACCCCCCACTCCTTTCCGAAACCTTGAGCTCGAAATGTTGGTTTAGGGTTTCAGGGTTTGGGGGAATGGTTTAGGGTTCAGGGTCTGGAGTCTTAGCGGTCAGGGTGCGGAATCCGGGCTGAGGATTCAAGCAAGAATGAGGGTTTAGAGCATTTGGAAGCATGAGTTTCTGCAGAACACTGCCTTGTTTTTCTCGCAGATTTGTTTCCATGTAGGAATCTGTAAAGCACATTAGACGTGTACCTGCTGATAAACCCCAGATCCTGTATGACCTTAAGTATAATGCGCGCCCATAGTTAAAACATTTAGGGTAATTGGGGTCACGCAGAAGGCTTGATACCCCTCGAGTTGAAACCCTAAACTCCAAACCCTAAACCCTTAAACCCTTAAACCCTAAACCCTAAACCCTGAACCCTTAAACCCTTAAACCCTGAACCCCAAACCCTAAAACCTGATTAAATCCTAGACTGTGCGCTCGAAGTTTAAGCCTTGAGCTCTGAGACGTTTCATGCGAAGTCCACGGTCGTTACAGCACAGGGTTTAGGTTTTAGGGTTTAGGGGCTTAGGGTTTAGGGTTTAAGGGTCTAGGGTTTAAGGGTTTGTTCAACGGGTGTAGGGATTTAGGGTTTAGGGTTTAGGGAATTCAGGCATGGATCCTGACATTAGGACCCTTCTTCATTCTCCAGTAGTCATCAGGCAGTAAACAGTCCATTCTTCCAAACAGTGAAACAATCGCAGTCAACACCTTCAATACGCCATCCGACTCTGAGCCTAAACCCTACCTGGACCTCAAAAGTAATTCAAATTATCGCCCAAGGCCTTGAGATATTTTCAGCCCTAAACCCGAAACCTTAAACCCTAAACCTTAAACCCGAAACCCTAAACCCTAAACCCTGAACCCTAAACCCGAAACCTTAACGGGGTCCAGGTACAGCCCTCATCCTCACCTGCACCTCTCGATCCACGGGAGTAGTATTTTATTTGGGGATACTAAGGTACCCATTATAGAGTAAGATTATATCCTCCCTTTGGGGTATAGTATTTTATGTAAGGAATATTGTCTTACCAGGTTCAACCACCAAAAGAACGCTACTCACGGGCCCTCCTGTAAGGAAGACCCTCGTCTTGCCCCGCATCTTGCGCTAATGTGCTCGGCGCCACTTGCCGGATGCGGGCTTTCAGATTTCAGGGGGTGGGATGATGTTTATTGCTAGGAACGCTTTTAGGGTTTAGGGTGTAATTAGGGGTTTAGGGTTTAGGGGGTTCCCAAAGCTAGGGGTACCATTTCGGGCGACCCTACAATAAGGATTAATGATTATTGTATTCTTGGGTTTATATTGTGGTCCCTCCTGTTTAGGGAAACTACCATCTGTAGCTAGGAATGCTTAAGAGGGCAGAAGCTGCCATTTTGAATTGGGTTTGGAAGGTCGTTGTGCAGGGTTTTGCGTGAGTGGGAACAAAGGAATGGCTTACAAGGACTATCAAGGTGGACTACGTCATACCACAGTATTGCTGCTGT